CACTCCTGCTGCTGTTTGTAGAATAGAAAATAACACAAGGCTATAACTCATCGCCCCTTAGGCCCTGCTTCCCTTTCTTGTGGTTGAAGGAGTGCCCACATCACTCAGGAACCTCACGTGAACTTATCGTTTGTACCGGTGTGATATGGAGAGGTGAAGGCCTTTCAGACAATAAAACAAGCAGGAAAAACTCATATCCCTGTCTTACATTCATTTACACCAGATCTATTTCATCTCCTTTCTGATGGAAAGGCATCATAGCAGAAAGTTATTGGCAGGATTTATTGACAGTCACATATTTAGAGTGAAGAAAAGCAATCTGACTTCTGCTTGGAGAGGAGAGCACAATGTAAAATATAATGATGTGGTTTTCTTTAAATGATCTATTCCTCCTTAAGTAGGAATACATACATCTGGCACTGCAGTAACATGCAAGTAGGGCACGTGAACTTGATGTATCATGCCAAAGTAAGCGTGCTCAGCTTAATTCTAACTTAAATGCATTTAAACCAGGATGGTGTAGGTGCCTTAAAAACAAGTGAACTCTGAAAATGAGTTTATGAGCAGCCTAATGAATTTATATCATTAGGAGTGCTTGTACACACTATTAACATTACATGTTTCGTCATTTATGACCCCACAGGCTTCATTGCTACAGGACACTGCTTTAATTAGGTGCTATTTCAACAACAGCCTAGGTCATTAACGGGGCTGGAACTCATTCGTTGCCACCGGAGTCTCAGTCATGGTGGCCTGTTGCTAGCTGAACTTTAACACTGTTCTCAGCGACATGAACACTCCAAAGCATGTCCACAAAAAATCAAAACCTGGATACGTCATGTGTGAAATGACTGATGCATTATCACTAAAATAATCATTTCAAGCGAAACCTTAACGTGTCGACACATTTATCTGCTTTCTTCATCAGTGGACAACTGTTCAAACTAAGAAAAGTCAAGGTTAGCATTATGTAGCAATAACCTATGCACAGAGAAAACTCACTGTGAGTGATTATTAGATTTAAGAGAAGCATAGATTAAGTCAAATACACTGTTTAATTTGAAGTAAGGAGGCAGTTTTCAGTTACAGAGACTCTCTGGCTACTGTTTATTTAATTTTACCACATTTTTGCCCAGAAATAATAAAAAATTTTGCATCACAAATGCTTGCAACTCAGAGCTGGTTTAAATTACGAAATAACTGGTACGCGTAATACCGTAATCTTGCCCTTCATTCTGCGTTTTAGCCTGCTCGTCTTTGGCCCGTTATATACAGGATCATTCGGTCTCTACAGCGTCTTCATTCTCTTGATCGGCATTTTGCCAAATTGGCTCCTATGATGTCGATTAAGGTGCGCAAAGAGAGAAAGCAGAGAAGAAGAAAAACGAGAGAGAAAGATGAGGCCAGCCCAGGGGGTGAGGCGCGTGTGAGAGTGTTGAATTTCATGAGTCACGGAAGTGTTATAATTGCACCCCAGAGTTCACTGATCAGTCACATAGATTGACAGCACATCCATGTCATCCCGGGTTCAAGCCCGCCTTGGCACAGTGTGTTTGGCATCATGGCACATCCTTTCATTCTCAAATTATTATAGATTTTTCTTTGGGGGGGGGGGGTTGATAGGTGCTTATGGGGAAAAAACATCACACGAGTCATATTTCAGTGTGTTGCTTTGATTTTATGGATAAAAGGCGTTTAACTCTTCACTGGAATAAATGAATTATCTTTTTACTAAAATAGAACCACTTGACTCAAAGTACGGACACATGCGCACAACACGTCCCAGGATGATTCTCTTTTATGCGCAGTTACAAAGTAAACACCAACGTGAGTCGTTTTGGAGGTAACGAGTCCTGAGCTGCTGTGATCATGCGCATTTGTTGTCAAGCTGTCTGGCCCGTGCGTCTTTGGCTCTTTACCACTTTGAGTCGACGCATCTTTGCTCTGTGTGTTCAGCGGTGCGCTCTCCTGTGATCTCCGGACAGTTTTGAGAATTTCGAGAGTGTTTTTTAACCTTTGGGATGGAGATTGAGGATGTGAAAACTTCAAGCCGATTATTCCACAAGTCTTCATTCAGCATCAGCAGCCTGTTGTGGAGACGAGAAGGAGTGATGGGTGACCAGGAGTCTCCTTCTCAGTCCCAGAAAGTGCGCTCTAGCCAGCTTGCAAAAGCCAGCCATGATCAAAACTTTGAAAAGTCAAAAGAATGCGCCAAAGTGGAAACCAAAGCGGGGACTGTAACTGGGAGACGAGAAGGAAATAAGGAAGAATCGAGGAAAACCGGTGGGGCAGAAGAAAGCGTCAAACCCGAAAAACCGCCTTTTAGTTACAACGCGCTCATCATGATGGCAATCCGCCAAAGTCCCGAACGACGGCTTACGCTCAACGGCATCTATGAGTTCATCATGGAAAACTTTCCGTACTACCGGCAAAACAGACAAGGGTGGCAAAATTCAATCAGGCACAACCTGAGCCTAAACAAGTGTTTCGTGAAAGTGCCGCGCCACTACGACGATCCCGGCAAAGGCAACTACTGGATGCTGGACCCCTGCAGCGAGGACGTCTTCATAGGTGGCACATCGGGAAAACTGCGCCGCAGAGCCGCAGCTGGCTCCAGGACCAAGCTCGGGCTGAAGAGAGGAGGCGGTCGTGTGATGCCCTCGGGCACTGCAACCAGCGTCACTCTGGCCGCAGCCAGTTCGTTTTACTGGCCGGTTCCGCCGTTTCTACCTCTCCAAACGCCGGTGCGCACCCACCTTGGCGCGGGGACATATCTGAGCGCGCACCCTCGCTTCTCCAACCACGCCACGTCAGTGGTCTCACAGCGGGCCCGACTGAGCGCAAACGCTGCGGACGCTGACCGGTTCTTGCAGACGCACCAGGAGATGTCTTACATCGGACTCAGTTGCGCGCAGTCCCGTCGCCACCAGATCGGCGCCGCGTGCACCGCCTTCTCCGCCTCCATCCCCGCGTGCACGCTGCCGCTGACAGACCCGTGCTCTTTTAACATGATCTCCGGACAAGCCAGCTACTTTTACTCTCACCACATACCGTGCGCCGCCACGTTTAGTCAAGAGGAGTGCGCCACCTCCAAGACACCAGCGGCGACGTTTTTACCCAAGAGCGGTCACGCAGACCTCGGAGGATGCTGCGGTGACTTTTCAAATTATTGCCCTCAAGTCAGCCCGAGCCCGTCGTCTTGGAATATAGAGAAATAGATACAGTCCCGACAGCCAGTGTGTGAGATTTGAAACATTGCTGTAGATAGTTTGCTAATTGTTGGAAACAAAAGGCAAAGCCAAAGAATCCCGATGAATGATAAAAATCCTGCAATATTTACCCAAATGTCTGCGTCACAGTGGATGTATCTAAGTAAAAAAAAGCGTTAATAGACTTGGATTATTTCTCAGAGTTGCAAAGTTTAAATGACCAAAAAATAAATGACGCGCGAACTATAAGTCTTAAAATACTTCCTCTGACAAACACATTTCCGAAAATGAGCAAAAAAAAGTGTATTTGCGTATATTGTGAATCCTAGGTTATGCGCGGATATGCGCAGATCATTTTTTTAATGCAATTAACGTTCACCGAGTTTGCATCTGCTTCTGAAATTGTACTAGAAAAAATATTATCCTTTGTTAACTTTCCTCATCAATGATTTCCCACATGTGTGTTTATTGGTATCAAAAAGTGAAGGGTTTTTCGGCGCATGTCACCAGTTTTGGGTTGAAGGGAGGTGAGAAGAAAACACGATTTTAAACATGAAATAAAATCGAAAAGTATAAAACTCTTGATGAAGGGAATCGCTTTCTCCAGCATGGTATCCAACACATTAAAATATTACTTTGGAAAGGTTCCAGCTTAATTTTAAACGAACGGGTGGAACCGGGGTTTTTTTGTTTTGTTTTGTTTTGTTGTTTTTTTAGTCCGGGGACTTTTTAAATTATGAGTTTTCAGTTTGGGTGAAAATGCGATGTGAAAATGATACTTAAACTGCTCATTTGCTGCACTTACTGTCTTCGATTTCGTTAATGTTGCAACCATATATATATTACATTCCCATTTTAATGACCTTACATGTAATTAAACGATAAATAATGCATTTTTAATTGTGTTTTCTTTTAACCTCATTAAAAGCTACTGTTGTTGATTGTTCTTATTTGGCTGTGTTATTAAATGTTTCACCCTGGAGATTTGAGCCCGCACAATAAGAACTATATATAGACTGGATTGAGTGTTTTAAGGAAAGGTTGTGAGGCACAGAGGCCTCTGTGCTCTGAGCCATTCTTTTTTCTTTCTTTTTTTCTTTTTTTTTTTTTGTTTATGAACAGTTCCACTAAAAAGGTTTCTCGAGGAGATATCGTGTGGAAAGGGTTGTGATGTAACCTCAACAGGTAGACATGGCATTTCCAGTCGCGCAGATCTTATTGATCTGTCTTGTGTTTCAACCTGCGCTGACATCACTGCCTGTTAAACTTTCCCTCACCTCTCCTAGCCGCTGCCCCCTGGAGATATAAATTAATAGATGTATGTGGATGCAGATTAGAGCAGATGTCTCTTTTAAACAAAGGGTTCTTTATCAAAAACATAAATAGAAAGAAAGAAAAAACCTCAGCCCGCCACCTTTCCAAAGCCAGTCACATCCTCAGTCACGTGTGGTTAAAGCAGACCGGGCTGGATCAGGTAACTTCACTGTTGCCAAACTCACCGTCTAGATAGATACAAAAGATAATATTTACACTTTGGCATGAAGGACTGTGGTGTGCAGAGCAGCAAGGGGGGGAGCTTAGCTGTGAAGCAACAAGCTTTTGGTGCAAAGTAGACTTTTGTATCCTGAGGCAAGAGTAAGAAGATACTGTTTGCTGTTAGTGTAATAAATAACATGTTTAGTTTGACAGCTCTACTAATAACCATAGAGCTATAATTCACCCTGCTACAATAAGGTTTCGCTGGTTTTTGGTGTGCAGGAGGCTGCAGAAATCAGGATGGCCTTTTCAAAATCAACCAGAAGTTTAAAAAAACCTCTTTAGTTATCATCTCTTTCAGTTTTTTAGATACATTTTTTAAAATGTACAACAAAATGTAAAGTGGGAATAACACGTCTGTTTGTTCAGTTTTATTTGGGTGAGAAGGAATAGACCTTTGAACACCCTCACATATCTGCATTTGTTCTTCCGTTAAAATTAGGTTGGAATTCAGTTGCTGAGCATGAAGCAGTCCATGCCGACCTTCGACGTCTCCCTCCACATCGTTTCTGTTTGGAGAAACAGATCAGCTCTTTAAAGCCACTGAACATTCTGCATCAGTATGTCTCAAAGTGCACCTGTTTGACCAGCTTGTTTCTCCCACGCTGCAAAAGTTTCAGGCTCTGTTTATGCTCCAACATTTTCTGTCAAAAATAAACCTTGTTACCACAAGCTACCACAAATTCTTCTTATTATTATTATAAATCAAACAGATTAAACAGATTTTTGTTGTGCACTGAAAAAGAGCTTAAAAACACTTATGGGAAAGGGTGGCTATCACTCTGTTCCTGGCATGTCCTTGTTCAGTGTAAGGTGTTGTATAGGTTCAGTTTCACTCACATTAGACACTCTAAATCCTTTCCAAATGTAGAGTCAATCTGTCATACCCACACCTCTTTGTAACACACTTTCTGGAGGTGTCCCAACATGTTCACGTGTTTGAACTCAATCTTCAAAGTGCTGTCAGATATTTCTTTCAGACTAGTAATTCAGTCTGACTATTTCACCATATTTGGGATTTTGGGTAAGAATAATAACCTTCCTGTAAATGAAGTCAAAATAACAAAAGTTGCCACCTTGTGCTGCTTGAGGGAGGTGATGCAAACTTGAGATATTAAGATTTACAGTATGTCCACAATATGTTTTGATAAATCTGCGGGAATTGTAAATCCTTTAAAATCCCGTTCACTTTCTTGTAGGTCTATCTATCCATTTTCTTAGAAAAACAATCCAATTAAATGAATCTTACAGTTACTTTGTGCATCTGCATGTCTGTTAAAGTGTATGTTTTACTAATTTTTTGTTCTCAGTGTTCTGTTTGTTTTGAAAGCCAATTAAATTTAGGTTAACAAAAAGGAAACTTTACTTTTTCTATTTAGCTGTTTCATATATTTTCTTCTTTTCTTTTTGGTTAGTTACTGAGTATTTGCCTGCTCTCTTAACTGACCAAAGTCTTTTCAGGCTCCCACAGTTCCGTTTCATGTATATGAGCTCATTTTACACCACAGTTTAGGATGCAAGACTTTTGGCTGAGCTAGGTGTGCTCCATAAAGATGTACCCCAGCAGCGCTCGTAATCGATCCCAGTCAATCACACTCCCCTCCTCAGCAGCACACAGGCTGCCATTATCTGCAGCAAGTGCTTTCGACAGGTAGATCTGCAACCACTGAAACAAGGTGGGTGGGATGGACACCTATAGGCGTCTGTCTGTCTCTTGTCAGAAAGCCAATCTCCCTCTCTCAGACATAGACGTGCTCTTTTTACTCGTTCTTGTTGTACCGAAGAGCAAAACAATGACTTAACTGTTTGAGTCTGCATATCAGTTTGACTGCTCTCTGATTTATTTCCTTTATCCTATAACATCTTCTTAAGAACTCTGAGTTATATTGAGTCCCATGGTGTTAATATTATTTTTATTTTATTTTATTTTATTTTTAATTATTATTAGAGCATGTTGTTTCAGTATTCTTTGCAGAAAAAAAACATAAAATTACCACAGTGTAAAATTGCTCTATTCCCTATAATAAGTAAAATAATAAGTAAAATTATGCTTTCAAACTGAAAGACAATTTGAGCATGCTTACATAAGAATTTATCCTGTATTTAATATGTTAACAGCAATGTCAATTTTATATGTATATACCATATTTTACTACGCGTAATCTCATGGGTTTACCATAAAAGTTAAAACCATTGAAAGCTTTATCAACTAATAGAAAGATTTATAGTTTATCCTGTACTCAACTGGGAGCCAATGAAGTGACTTCGGCACTGGAGTAATATGTTTAAATCTTCATGTATGTGTGAGGACTCTTATCAAAGTATGTGATCACCAAAACTGATTATCCAAAAAAAATGTTCTGTCTCTGATTTTCTGGACTAAAAACAAATATTTCTGTCTTACCTCTTAAAATTCAGCAATTAATGTGTCATTAGTTTGTGAACAGGATAGATCACCGGAGTAGAACAATAAAATCATATCTAGTCAGCTTGTAGAAGCAGTCTATTGAATAAAATATAAAATATAATGCAATTAATGATGGAAACGGTGTGTTTCAGATGGACTTCTTTGTAGCGTTTAGTGAGCCTGTAGTAACCCGGTAGTTGTAGCGGCGTTTTTGAAGCGCCTTCAAACAACCCGGAAGTAGTTTGATCCACGCGAGCCCAACGGAACCGTTGCAGAGCGAGCTGAAAACGACCGAATTGTTGCAGAGTGAGCTGAAAACGACCTAAAGAAACCATGTAAGTGTTTGTGATGATCAGCTGCTGTTATGAGAGACTGGTTATTCTTTCAGACACCGAAATCCGCTAATAGCGAGCATTTAAAAGGCTAACATTGTTAGCCGTTCTGCTACCCGGGCCGGTTAGCTTGATGCTTTTTAGACGCTTTCGGAGCTCTGCCTTTTCATAACTAGCTGTGTCACAGATTTGTTGTAGTTATATCAAAGTAGTTCGTACATCTGGTCTTCTTTGTTGTAAAGTTTCAAAATACTGATTCCGAAATCAGACTATAGCGTAAATGCTAGTTTTCTAAATGCTAACAAGAGACAATGTGTGAGCGTGCGATTTCATGCTGGTAAATAATTGCGACCTGTGGCAGTCCAGTGACGTAAAAAGTATTTTTTTTAAATAGTTTAGCATAAAGGTCCCCAAACATGTCCCAAAATATGACTCACTGAAGCTTTTAAATGGCGAGGTTTAAGCTTCAGCGTGTTGTCTGATAAATGCATCTCTGTGCCCAATACCTATTTTTTTACAGGTGTAGTAAGGTACTTTACTTTGTGTACTGTGTACAGTTTAAGTTTTCCACTTAACTTTTCTCAGTATAATCGGGCTTTCTGTACCTGAGCTGTGTCAACGCACAAAATTCCCTGTTGTAGGATCAATAGTCTTGTTTTATCTTAGTAACAGAAAACCTCCAATAGTGCTACTTTACTACTTCAAATATGCCATTGTCATTGTCACACTCATTTATTAGGATACTGTTATGATGTTGTCTCATTGTTTCATTTGCAGGAGCCTCTTAACAAAGCCCAAGTCAGAGATGACCCCTGAAGAGCTTCAGAAGCGAGAGGAGGAGGAGTTCAACACCGGCCCCCTCTCAGTCCTCACCCAGTCAGTGAAGAACAACACGCAGGTCCTCATAAACTGTCGCAACAATAAGAAGCTGCTCGGAAGAGTTAAGGCTTTTGACAGGTATTGAATCAGACACTTATTTAGCATTTAACACTCTTGAGGGTATAATGTGAGACTTACTTGTTTATATCAGTGTGTTTTTTATCATGTTTCTTTTGTCTGTTTTCTTACATTTAAGCCTTTATTTCATTATTATTGCTAGCCAATGGTGATAACATGCTATCGCGTCACTTTGGTCCCTTTTTAGTATTCACTCGTTTCCTATTTTTCTCCATTGGAGTCACATTTAGCACCTTTACTTTGTTATTAAATATTGCCCTCTCTCAAAGGTAAAAATAACCAAACACATTTAGTTTGTTATTCTTGTATAATGTAGCTGGAACATCATAATCCTCAGGCACATTTGATCATTTTAATTAGCTGGTTTACACACCTAATGAGTGAAAGATCTGCCGGCTGAATCCCAGAGGAAATGCCAACTCCTATTGGTGTTGCGTCAGAAAAATCTGTTATAGAAATTGAAAACATGCAGAACTACCCACCAGGATAACCCACTGTGAATGAGGTAGCAGCTAAAAAGTACTTTTTGTTTTGTTTTTCCCATTATAGGTGTGATATTTATTTATTGTTTCTTCTGATACTGCAAAAGATTAAAAAAAAATCACAGAACATGTAAATGCATATGTATGAGTACCTGAGTAAGATCACAGGGCTTTTATTTATGTATGCATTTATTTTCTATAAATTACTAACATTACATCACCATCGGCATTTCAGGCATTGCAACATGGTCTTGGAGAACGTGAAGGAGATGTGGACAGAAGTTCCGAAGAGCGGGAAGGGAAAGAAGAAGTCGAAGCCCGTAAATAAGGACCGCTACATTTCTAAAATGTTCCTCAGGGGGGATTCTGTCATCGTGGTGCTGAGAAATCCTCTGATCACAGGAAAATGAACTCTCTGAACCGCTCTCCTATTCTTTTTTTTTTTTTCTTACACTTCCTCAAGGCAATTGATTGTAGTTGCCGTAACCTTATTTGTTTTGATTTTGATGTTGGATCACTGAATTCACTATTAAGACAGAAAACATGTCATCAAAAATATGTTTCTCCCATTTGACGGTCATTTAAAATGTTAGGCACGAAAGTGACCAATTTTTTTCTTTGTCTGTGGAGCTTTTCTGTCTTTTTCATTTTCATAATAAAAGTGATGAAGAGATGAAAACATTGTGCAGATATTTTTATAGCTTTTAGAGTGTATGTAGTTTACATTACACAAATGTAGACTAGTCTTTATATTATTCATTTTTCTGACAAAACAATGGTTTTATGTTTTCAGATTGTCTGTTTATCCCATTCTCAAGAATTCAATATTTCAGCTTCATCACATTTGGTACATCTATTTATGTTCACTTGGGCTAAAAATCAACATCCCTGACTTCAAAAACCATTTTGGCTCCAACTAAAGAATTAATTTAATAATCACTGCACGCTTTCACACAAACATCTGACTGGGTCTTTAACTTTACCAGTAATTAAAATGATGATGTGATAAACTTGAATAACCATAACATTTACAGTGACAACGTCTCACCAACAAAGAAAAAGAACTTTGCTTATTATTCAGGGCCAGAACTCAGAAACAGAGGATTTGTTCTGACACAAAAAGGTGACTTTAATCTTTGCCGCCCACTTGAAGTCCCTAAAAGTCCATTTTACGTATCAGTTTGGACGGATGTTACTATAAAGTTCAACTTCACTAATCGACGAGCGCATACGCTCATGAGGTTGTACTTGGTGGTATTTTGTAGCGCTCGCTCAGTGCAGTCATTGAAAAGTTATTTCTCCTTGCCAGCCTCCCCCTCCCCTTCTCCTCCTCATCCTCCTCCTTCCACTGTCACCCTTTCACTCTCCCCTGACAGCATCTAAGGTGTCGGGCTTGATTTCAGTCAGCAGCGCTCAATAAGCGACAAACTGCCGTTTAAAGGCCCACTGCATTATTGATGAGACCAGATGTGCTGACTGTCACTTCACACCCTCATCTCTCTCCATTTCGAGCCGTTCCCTCTCTGCCGCTCGGCCCCTCCTGACCACTTTGTTAATTGTCTTAATAGCTCGACAGCTAGTGTCGCCTTACTTCTCCCTACCAGTTGGCATCTAACCTCTGCTCTGTGGTGCTCTCATATTCAGTGGTTACGTAGATGAAATGCTTGTTTGTGTATTTTATAGTTTTCTGTGAAGGGTGGGCGTCGTTGAGAATTGCATGCCTCTGATTTCTGAATCGTTCCTCTTGTTTTATCTGATGGAACCTCATGAAAAAATTGCTAAATATGTTTACAGAAGTATCCTGAATTTTCTGCTGTCATCTTAACATCTTGACCTCTGTTTTATAATTTATGTCACATTACACTCTCACTGTTAACCCTGCGCCTATCAGCCCAGCACCTGTGGAGTATCTGTGTGAGGGCAACAAATCGTCACTGATTTACAACTCTCAGGTGAAGCCTGCTGGGTGAGTCAACGGGAGAGTCGGGCTTAGCGCTTTATGTGAAATGTAGTGAACTTCTGTGACTGCTCTGATGGCTATTGCACTAATGCTTCTGGCAAATCCAAGTTTGAGATCATGTTGCGGAGGCCGGAAAATAGACGAGTTGTTTCATAGTCAGCCCAAGGGCACACAGCAGCTGTTCAGGGCCCCGCGGCAACCAGGAAGCCCCCAAAAGATCTGCTCCTTTTTCTGTAGTTCAGATTTACCCATGGTGTAGATCAAGTAGTAAACCATCCAAAACAAGATAGGGACACTTTCACTTAGAAATCAGTTTGATGTGAGAGTTGGTAATCCACACATCAAACATGACAGATAAGGGATTTTTTATTTTTCCCTTGTTGTTACCTTACCCATATTTAAATCCACAAAAGAAAAAAAAGATTTTAAGCATGAAAATAAATAAATCAGCTCATTTTCATTCACCCTCATTTATTTTTTTGTGGGCCAAATCTAATGGTTAACATGGTGAAACTGGAAACATTATATCAATTTTTATTAACGTAATAAATAAAGAATTACTACGACGGTTACAGCAGCAACCCAGAACAGTGACCCTTCTGTTTAAGCTGAGAATCTGAGTGAAAGACCTCATTCATACAGACTAAATCCATGGCTCTGTGCTATATGCTTCACTTCTACCAGTTTAATTATGCTCTTTGTCAAATATACAAGGCGTTGAAATGTATATGCTTGACAACACACTTGAAAACAAATATTTCAGCTCTATTTTTAGCCTGGTGCTAGTAATGTGACGACAAATAGGGTCACAGCAAGAACAATCAGTTTTGCCCTTTTGCACAAAGTAATCAGATCACCTTTGTAGTGCGACCTCTTTACATTAAAATGAAATTTGACTGAATTTGACCAGGACTCCTGAGCAAGAAGATAACAGACAGTTATGAAATATGAGCTTTCCGGTGTTACCCGGGCATTCCAGTACAGGAGTCCAGTTTCACCTTCAAATTAAGGTGGTATGATTGCCTTCCCTGACCACTTAGCATTGCAAGATTATAATCAATTAGACAATATACTGAGCATTGGGCACTTTTTAAGTATCCCCATTGACCAAGAATGCCAATCATAACACTTAACGGCCACTCCTTTCTAAATATAAGTAACATTTCTTAGGTCAGTTCTTCAGATGTAAATGTTAATTTCAGACATGATGCTAGAACTAGAGACAACTTACAAGAGCCTTGAACTAAGGACTCCATGCACACTTACAATCTGCACCTCTGCACTGAGATGTTAATTGTATTGTATCTACTTTTTGTAATACCAACAGAAGCTAACAACAATAATCAGTGAAATCAATATTATAAACAGTTGAAAAGCCACAATCGCGAAATACATCATTCTTTTTTGGTAACTATTTTGAACTCTGTTCATTCTGTTCCACTCATTTCCTTCAGATATTATTTCCTTTATGACTCTCATGCAAAGGTGAGGGGTCAGATTCAGCATCAAACAGAATGAAGCTTCGTTGCAGGGGCGCTCCCACTGAGGCAGCGGGCCCTGGATAGGAGCAGATCACCACTCGGTCTCCTTAGGCACAGTGAGAGATTGTCCCTTTTGCTATAAAAAAGAAAAACCCCTCAACTGTAAAAACTGACACTTTATGTATACATTTACCTCCCTTACCAAGGGTGTTTCCAGGATTTCATCTTGAACTTTAAAGGTAAAATGTTTTGCAAAGTGGGAAAAAAGTATTTAGACTATTTCCTTACCTAAAAGTTAAAAACCTTAAGTAGTTTAAACCTGCATTTGATTCTATCATGTTCCAGCTGTTGATTTTAATAACGTACATATTGCTGGTCAGCTTGATCTCAGATAAGTCATTTAATTTCTCTCCAAAATAATTAGTGAATAAAGCTTTAAAATAAAAGGTACATGGTATTATATTTTCATCCAAAACATAATGGAGTAAAATAGAAAAGTAGTATTACATGGAATTACTAAAAATAAGTTACTACAGTTACATTAAACTTGTACTTCAGTAAAGCACATGAGTAAGTCCTATCCATGATCTCATCCAATGGTATTGCACATTGTGAGACATGTACCTGAGCCCCACCTGGGTTAGTGACACTCATGAAGTAAAAATTTTTTTAATTTAAACATAAAGTAGAAAAAGAGGAAGTTTCTTACTATGACTTATGTTCTTAGGTGAACATATAAAATACATGGTGACAACATATTTGCCTGCTATTGTATATGAACACCAGTCTTAAATAATGTTTTGTTGATGGCCAGGACTAATGCTGTCTTTAAAGCTGGTATAAAAATTCTCTAAAGGTGAATTAGTGAACTTTACGGTGGCCCTGAGCATTCAAGTGCTCTTCCATTTAAATAAAGAAAGGCAAAAAAACCCAGCAAATATAAAAGTTCAGCAAAAGCATGCCAGGGGCGCCACCATTTTTGCTACTGTACCTTTGCACTGTCCACTTTCTGCTGTGACAAAACAAATTTCCCACATGTGGGACTAATAAAGGTTATCTTATCTTATCTTATCTTATGAGGGGCACTGGCCACCCCCCAATTCTGGGAGATAGCCAACTAGAAAGACGGTGTCATAACTTTAATAAACGCGAGCACAGGAGAGAGGGAGACACCCTACAATGAGTTGAAACATTATTGTTATTTAAAACTGATTATTTCAGATTTCAAAATCTTATTTGGTTTTCATATGTGCCCATTTTCTGTGATAACAACAACAATTAGCAAGAAATTACCTAGACATATAATTCTCTTCTTGCAATAATTTTTGCCATATTTTTCAAGTAACCTATATCTGACAACAGCATAATAAAATTGGTAATTATTTTTTGGGTGTGCCCCAGCAGTATTTTTAGTGGCCCCTACATGGCCACCCCTCTGAAAAAAATCTGGAGGCGCTCCTGACCCAAACAAAACACCATCACGTGTTAGTGAGGTTGAAAAGGTCAAAGTCTAAGGCACACATAATCTTTTTTATTAAAACCTGTATTGACCAGTTGAGCGTTCAGACACAGACTCTAATTTCATTTCACTTCATTTTATGCTATCGGTTAAGGTTAAAAGTACTATTTCGGTGCCGGTTTGCGCTTATTTTGGCTGTAGCTAAGTAAGCACCTGCCTGGGCGCCTTAGTGTCACCCCGGAACCTGAAGGTAGTCTATAGATTATAGAAAACCAAGTTCAGTCTCCCTTTTATTTACTGTGACAAACACGAGCGACCTATCACAAAGTGTAAATCTACAGCTTGTTTAGGATCAAATAGCATCTCTCAACAATGAAACTCAGCTGCAGCATCGTGGGACAAAGCCCTGTCACATAGCCGGTGGGTCTATTTGGAGATGCCTCGGATAAAGACAACTTTAGGGACCTGATTTGTCGGGTATCATCGTGCATTTGTCTCAGATTACTTACACTCGTGTCAAAGACACTTCAAGAAGTCTCTTTCCCT